GCAGAGGAGTCTGGCCCAGTCACTGGATCACAAAAGACAAGAGGAGTTTAACTGCAGGTCATGTTGCTGATTGACTTCTCCATCCAGCAGTGCTGCCCTCGAGGGGAGAAGGAGCCACAGCTGGCCAGGGTCAGGCCCAGGTCTGATCCGCTCTAGATGTGGACGCCCCCAGCAGTCCCAGCCACACTAGATCCCCATCTCTCCCTGGAGGTTCTCTGAGAAGCAGGGAGGCCAGGAGAAAGGGGGGTCAAACTGGTGCCTTGCACTGTAGTAGGAAAGGAAACAGCAGGGGCCTGAGTGGGGAAAAAGATGACCTCCCCCCCTCGCCCCCCACCATGCCTGACTGGCAAGAAGCATCAATGTGGGCAGAGGAAAAGAGAAGCAAAGACCCCAGGGTCAGAGAATAAGGTCAGTGTGGCAGCTGCCAGCACCTGTTCGGGGTCTCCAGGCTCTTCAATGACTACCTGTGTACTGCCCCCCCGCGCCCCCAAGAGACCTCTTTCAAGGGACAGAGATTCAGTCCAGACACCTCCTCAGTCAGTTCATCCCCTCCTCCTCTTGTCTCCCTTGCTCTTCCGTTGGTTCAGCCTGACCTGCTCAGCGTGCTGGCCCAGCCCTGAGGAGCGCATTGGCAGCTGGAGCTGGGAACCAGGTAGCAGAGCCAAAAACAACAGAGGAGCCGCCTGGCTGCCTCGCCTAGATGCTGCGCAGCCCATTCCTGGTCTAACTGTAACACCTTCTATTGCAGCTTCTTCCCCGCTGTGGTTCTGACCCTACCGGGCCACACCTGCCTCCCTTTGCCAAGGCCTGGAGCTGGCCCTGGGGGTCAGCCAGGTGTTCTTTGAGTCCAGCTGCCCATACCTTCCCTAGTGCTCAGGGTCTCTCCCCAGCACCCAAAGGTTTCTGGGAAATGGGTTGCCTATTTTCTGGATCTCTGGCTCCATCTCCCAGCTTGCACGTCAGCTTGCTGGAAGTTCTTTTTGGTCCCATCCATCCTGCTCACTGGCAATTTTATTTGAGAGAATCAGAGCCTTATCCGATTTGAAAAGGGCTGGGTCCCTCAATCCAGGGAGATAGGAATGGAACATTCGCATGGGTATGGAGGATCAGACCAGACCAGGAGGCAGGATGCTCAAGTCCACACTGTGCTAAGTGAAATGCTGAGGGTTAGGGAGACCAGGAGACACAACTGTTCTGGCCCAGCCATTCCCAACTGTTGGTCTGATTGAATAATCGAGTCAACAGCCCTCCCCTGGGAACTGACCTTTAGGCCACTTCACAATGGACATTCCCTTTCACTGAGACCACATTCCACTTGCTAAGACCATTATCCTTCCCCTCTGGACCTTCCTAGGATCCGGACCGCCCAGAGAATTCTCCGCCCAGAAAAAGCCCGCCTAGAGTCCTTTAAAACCTCTGACTCCCTGTCCCTCGGTGCTGGCGCCATTTTGGGGCTCAGCCCATCTGGTATCCAGATGACCTAATAAATTTCTAATCCCTTACCACTCTGGCTGCATGCGTTCTTCCTTCAGCAACCCTAACACCAACTCCTTTTTTCCACTCTCAGACCTTCCATCCTCTGTTCAAGTCCTGCCTTCTTTGCTGCCCCTACAAGGAGTCCCAGAGACTCAAGGCCCACCCCCACCTGGGTTTCATTTCTACATGACTCCCAGCCAACAAACTCTCTGACCCAACAGATGCAATAACACGGCTCAGGGTGAGGCCCTTCCACCAGTGCTGAATTTGGCCAGAGCTTCTCTTTGGCCCCAGTTGGGGGTGAGGGTGAAGGGTACATGACTCTCCAACTCTTCCCAATCCTCCCCCCACCCAGCCTCAAGGGAGTGATAGAGGGGGGTGGGGTGTCTCCTTTTCCCAAGGCCCAGACCCCTTAATCGAGCACACAATATAGCCACTCTCCCTCACACTTCTCCAGCCATGCAGATGCCTGCTCAGCTCCATTCCTTCTGTTGCAAAACCAGCCACTTTCCTCTTCGCCACACTGCAGTGCAACAGTCCTAGAATGTTCCTTCCCTAATTCTCTCTCTAGCCTGTTTCCTCCTCACCCCGCCCCATCCTGCCTCTGTTCCCCCAGCTTTTCTCACCAACTTTGCACCCTCCCCAACTTGAGTTTTCAAATTCCTGGGAGAGCCCCCAGAGGGGTATGGCCCAGGCTCCTAGAAAGGGGGAGCGGGTTGCCCCACCAGATCTGGTCGTAATTAAAAGACCAGCGACATTGAGAAATTCCTTATTGATCCCGGCAGGAAATTAGAGCCAGTTGTTTGGGACTGAGCGACTGATGCTGACTAAGCTCCTCCCCATTGCTAGGTTCCCTGGCCCCTCTCTCTGAGGCTCCCCCACTCTCCCATTCTCCTTCCGTTACCCCCCTTTCCCCTTACCACCCCACCCCAGCTGTCTCATCCCATTCCCTTTCCTTGACTCCCTTCCCCAGCATCTTCCCTAAGCTCCACACCCACCCACCCGCCCTCACCCCTGCACTTTACAACGGGTTAACGGGGCTGCTGGAGGCTGAGACCTCCAGCCACGCTTGCTCAGCACCCTCCTCCAGACCCCCGGACCACCTCCCTCAGCCAAGGTTGGGGTGCAGGGGCTGGAGCTCAGGCCCAGAGCTGCCAAACCACAAACACATCTGGAAAAAATTCCCTTCCCAGCCTGACTTCCCTTTGTCTTCTGTCTTTTTGGAAATTCTGGCCGGCTAGTCAGTGGGGGGAATGAGGAAGTAAAGGGAGGGGAGTGGGCCCAGGCCTCCCTGCCCCCACCCCAGGGAGCTCCCGTCCAGCCTCCCCAGGGTCCTCAGCCAGACCATGTCCCCCCTTCATGCTATTGTAGGTCTAGGCTCCCTCGTCCTGGGGATCATCTTCTGGGCGAGGATTTAACATCCTCAGTCACCAGGCTAGTGGGGGCGTGGGCCCGCCGGGGCCCTTCTCTTTGCAGCAGGCTGGCTATGGAGCAGGGGACGGGACTGTTCTGGCTGGGGGCTCAAGAGGGCTGGAGAGGAGTGGAGATGGACACAGTGATTTGGGTGGAGGAGGTAGGGGGCAGTGAGGGGGAGGGGGGCGGTGAGAGTCTGGTTTCAGCCATGTTCCCTCCCTTTGGCTGGGAGCCCGATTTCACTGTCAGAACCTAATCCCTCTCCCTTTACCTACAGCACTGCTGGAGCCGCGGGTGGGGGAGGAGCACAGGCAGAGCCTGCAACTCCGGGGGAACATCCCCCAGGGACACCCCTTCTTGCTACCACCTCTGCTTTTGTCTGTCCTTCCTCAGAGATCTCTACTTGCTGCCCTCTGCCTTCCAGAAGCCCAGCCCAGCCCCCCACCCCCAAGATAAGCTCCTCCGCATAAAACGGAGACCCCCAAACCAGGCTGAACCTCCAGCTCCCTTCTTTAAACCTGACAAGTGTATTCGTGACCGCTGCGCGAGGCCCCATCCAAAAGTCCTTTCTACCGTCTGCCCTCCATCTCTCTTGCTGCAGAGTCAACCTAGATGTCCTGTCCCTGCACGTCCATTATTCAGAGTCCCCTCCTCAGGGCCCGGGGGCTCCGCCCGCAGTGCGTCCTCCAGTCCCGGGTAAATCCTCCAGCCCTTGTCCTTTGGCTCTAGGCCTGTGGACTCCCCCCAGCGCAGGCCCCCAACCCTCGAGACCGGTCCAGGGCTCGGAATCTCAGAGCCTGTCCTCTGCTCCACCCACGGCCACGCTGGCAGGGAGAGACCGGGGCCGCGACCAGATGTGGGGTTTCTCGTCCCGCCTCGGAAGGAGCTGGGAGGCAGCCCAGGAAGGGTGGCGGGGGTGGGGACCGACGGGCCGCGGGGCCCCGTGCGCGGACTCGCCAAAGGCACCTGAGCTGCAGCGTCCCCCGCGCGGGACAGACGCCGCCCGCCCCGCTCCGTCCCTCGGCCTGGGCAGTCCCGGGTCTCCAGCCAGTCCCCGAGGCTCCCCGCCTGGCCCCCATTTCTGCTCCCCGGGCCCCCGGCCCTCTCCGTCGGGGTCTCTGCGGGAAGCCCTGCCCTGCCCCCTCCTTTGATCTCACACTTCAAAGCCTCTCCCTAGGGGCGGCCGCTCCTTCCGCCCGGTTTACGGCTGAGAATGGTGACACCTGAGACCCTGCTCCGCCTCCTCCCGGGGGCACCCAGCCTCCTTCCAACCTCGGGGCTCCGCGTCGGTCCCGCCTCTCCCCGCGCCCGCCGCGATCCCCTCGGGGGTCTGCCGAGCCGAGCGGCGGGGAAAGCGCCTCCATAAAGAGATCGTGTCGAGTGATTGGCTGTGACCTCTGCCCTCCCCAGCCTCGCGCGGGGGGCCCTGCTTAACCCTTTGGTGCACGCCCTGCGCTTGGAGAGGGACCAGTCTCCCTGCGCCAACTTCCAACGTCCCCAGGTGGCACCGAGGCCCGCAACCCGGCGGGGAGTCGGAGGGGGTGCTGCCCCCTTCCCGCCCCTTCGAATCGTCCCAGCAGGGGGCGTCGCTGCCTCACTTAAGAGCCTGCCCAGAACCCCCGGGGCCCCTAGCGGGTCTCGAGTTCGGAGTGGTCCCGGGGGTCCAATTCAGGCTTCCCCGGAGGCGAGCTAGGGCGCGCCCTCCCTCCTCCGGCTCCCGCTCGCGAGCAGGGCTGGCCCGCGGTGACGGCCCCAGGTCCCGACACCAAGGAGTTGGGGAGACGTGGGGAACCCGCACGACATGACCCTGGGGTTCGGACGGCAAGACCTGAGCCCTGAGCATCTGCGCCCGGCGCCCCACGCCCCTCTGGGCTGAGAGGTCAATCCCAGCCCTCGCTCTCCGTTCGCCTCCCCGTCCCACCGCGGGCGCGGGGCGCGCGCTCTCGGTCCCCAGCAAACCCTGGTCCCGCCCACCGGGCTAGATCGGGAGGCAGGGGGCTTGGGAGTGGGGGCTGTGCGGCGGGCCGGGGCTCAGGGCCCCCCAGGTGGGGTGGGAGGCGGGGCGGGAGGAGGGGCCACCCCGTTTTTTTGGGCAGGGGCGGGCCCGCACCGGGTATAAAAACTGCCCGCGCGGGAGCCCCGGCCAGCTTTGGGGTTGTCCTGGGACGTGTCCTGCTTCCCGAGTCTCACGCTCTGGCGAAGGCGGCGGCCACATATCGTTTGACTAAAGGACTCACCGTCCAGTGCTCCAGCCGAAGACCCTAAGGGCCCGCCTCCAGCGCCGCCACCATGCCCAACTTCTCTGGCAACTGGAAGATCGTCCGATCGGAAAACTTCGAGGATTTGCTCAAAGTGCTGGGTAAGGAGATTTGCAAGGGCCCCGGAGAGGGAGTATTCGGAGGTGGGTAAGAGTAAGAAAGGAAGGGGGGGTAGAATCAGGGCTTAGGGGTCCCAGGGTGCTGGGCCGGGCCACCTAAATCCTGCTTTCTCTGGCGGGGCGCCCACCGATGCCAGCTCCTGCAGTGACTCAGCCTGTGAATCAAGTAGAAACCAGAAGCACGAGGTCCGTATCCCTTTGGGTGGGGAAGAGGGGCTCTCTTCAGTTCAGGAGCTGCAAACCCTACATCCAGGCAGGGAGCCTGGGCCCCCGCCCCCCCCCCCCCCACCCCCGAGACCTTTCGGCCTCCTTCCCTTGTCCCCGCTGGTAACCCAGCCCAGGCAAGTTCCTTCCCCATGTGCCGCTCTCCACCCGCCAGGTGAGGGCCACCCCAACCCCCCTTGGCCCTCCTTCCTTCCCCCTTCAGCACTTCCCACTCTGCTCCCTCTTCACCCCCATCTGTGAGACAAGTATTTTTCCTACAGCGAGTTCCAGAAACCTAAAATTGCTCTAGATAATTATCACTTTCTTCGATTTCAAGAAATGGCTTTGTGTGGAACTCCCCCCTCACCCCCTTTCTCCAATAGGAGTTCTCTTTTCCCTTCTCCCTGGATACCCACTACAGCCCAGCTGGGTGTGCTGGGTAAAGGCAGGGAAAACTGTACCCACCCAGATGGTCCTTCCCAACTCTTGTGTGCCCTCTGTCTGGGCAAGGGGTGAAAGCTAGGAAATGGCTGGAGGGGGTGGGGGGCTCTGGGAAGAGATGGAGATTGGTTAAGCAACTGGGGAGCCACCTGGGAGCCCCAGAGCCATCCATTTCAGGACTGAACAGAGAGAAGCCAGTTGGGCTGGGTGGGGAGGGGCACCTTGTGTGGGGCCAGGGGCTGTAGGGATGAATCTGAACCTAGGAAGGGTCTGGAATGCTATCCGAAAAGCAGGGACTTCCAGCATTCCTTGCTGCTGGTTCTCCTTGCAGTCTAACCACAGAACTTCTAGTCATGTCAGTCTTTCTTGTGTTGCCCTCGCTGAAATGAAACACCAAAAGGATAGGAAATTTCCCTTCAGAAGGCCTCGGTGTCATCCCCTCCCCCAGCTCCGGATTTGGCTCCTCTCCCCAGTGGGTGAGGCACCCCTAGGACCCAGCTGGAGAATAAGACCCAAAGCCCAGCCCTGTTGTCTGTCTATCTTCGTCTGTTTGTCCTCCCTGCAGGGTCTCTCAGAGCCACGTGCCCTCCTCAGGCCCTGCTGGGAGACAGATTGCAAACAGACCCATTAACACAGCCCTGAGTCAGCCGAGGTTGGCCGAGGCTGGACCCGCTCCACAGGCAGCAGAGGCGGGCGGGCTGGAGGGGCGTCTCCTCGGAACCCAGCAGCCTTGCCTCCACCGGAACCTCAGTCACTTCTCACGCTCCTTGGCCCTAGTCCAGGGTCCCCCTCCTGTGAGGGATGCTCAGGTGTTTGGAGGACAACTGTCCCGTGCAGTGTGATGGCCATGGATGGAGGAGGCTCTGCTCCTGTAACAGGACAGATGGATGTTAGAGAGCAGATGGGCTTCCCAGGCAGCAAAAGGGTGAAGTAGTCTCAGTGCAAGAACATGGAGTGGGACGTGCCTTCTCTGCCCAGTCAGCTGGACCTGGAACCTCGGTCATTTCTCCCGGGCCTGAGATCAGCAGTCAGGAACGGGGCTCCTGGGCTCCTGAGGGCCAGGGCTCTCTCCCTCCAACTCCCTCTTTCTGGCTCAGAGTGTGTGCTGTGGTGCCAGGGGGAAAGAGATTTGTTTCTCTCGGAACCCAGGTCTAGAGGAGGGACAGGGAGTTTGGGCCGGGTCAGGGGTAGGGGAATCCCGCTCACCTGGCCCAGCCCAGCTTGGCCCCCTCATCCCCACCAATTGCTTCTCTGGGGGATTCTGCTCCAGTCAGGGCAGGAGGCCTGGCCCGGCAGTTTAGACCCGGGCCCTGGCCAGAGGCGCCTGCCTGCCTGCTTGTCTTCTGTCAGAGGGGTGCTCTCTCCTGGCACCCCCACCCCTCTTAATAACTGGGGAGCAGAGAGCAGCGGTCCAATCTGGGGGAGGATATGCGGACAGGCGCGGGGACTCTGAATGAGAAGCACTTACCAGGGTGAGTTGGGGACACATCAGGGGCGGGGAGGGCAGTACCCCTTCTGTCCCGTGAAGGGAAAGGGCAGGCGTGGGAGCCTCCCAGGAGGGCAGGTGAGCAGGAGTCTGATGCAGAGAATGTCTGAGCCCCAGCTCTGGCTTTTTTTTTGCCTTCCTTCTATCAGTAAAAGTGCCTGCTACCGGAAGACTAATTACTATTTCTTAAAAACTCAAAGGTGTGCCTGGCACTGAGTACTAGGCCCTAAACACACCTACCTCATCCCATTTGCTAGGCTTTGGGAGAAACTATTGTCTCCATTTTACAGTTGAGCAATCTAAGGCTCAGATAAGTTAAGCCATTTGCCTAGGCCCTAGGGCAGTGATGGCGAACCTTTTGCGCTCTTGAGCTTGGCGTGTCGTATTTTGAAAAACCCTAACTTAACTCTGGTGCCGTGTCACATATAGAAATTTTTTGATATTTGCAACCATAGTATAAAAAAGATTTATATTTTTGATATTTATTTTATATATTTAAATGCCATTTAACGAAGAAACATCAACCAAAAAAAATGAGTTCGCGTGTCACTTCTGACACGTGTGTCATAGGTTCGCCATCACTGCCCTAGGGTCACCCAGCCTACAAGCGCGGCTGAACCAGGTGGAAATCGAGGAAATGGATCTTACTCCAGAACCTTTGGCTTCCCCAGCGGCTGGCCACCTCTTCCCTGGCTGAGAACCCCTGTCCCTTCTCATTTTGGGGAGGGACAGAGATTGGGCAAATGAAGGCCCAGCTGGCACCAGACAGGGGAGGTGGGTCGCACAGGGAGGGAAGTGGTCCCTACCTCCAGGACAAAGTGGTGAGGCCTGGCCTGGGAGGGTCTGTCCTGCACATGGGCAGAGGTGAGGGCACAGTGGCTCTAATGAGCCCACCCAGCAGAGGGTCTCAAGTAGGGTAGACAAAGGGCCCAAAGTGAGGTGGACAGAGCCAGTGAGCCCATAGCAGGATGTCTGCTGGGTGAGGGGAATGGGAAAAAGTGACCCTGAGCTGGGAAGGGGGGGCAGGGTGGCTAATCTAGGACTGCTGACTCACCCAGGTGGGGTGGCTGCTAGGAGCAGGATCCTTTAAGGGCAGGCACTGACTCTCTGCCCTCCTCCCTAAACCCCACCATTCATTAGGGCTGCACCACCTGCCCTGTCCTTCATGAACTTTCTCGGAAACTAGCCAGACTGCTCCAGCTGTCTCTTGGGGAAGGTGTAACACAGGTGCCTGGAGCACCCCAAAAGGTGAGCCTCTCTCTTCTCTGCAGGGGTGAACGTGATGCTGAGGAAGATCGCTGTGGCTGCCGCCTCCAAGCCGGCAGTGGAGATCAAACAGGAGGGAGACACTTTCTACATCAAAACCTCTACCACCGTGCGCACCACGGAGATTAACTTCAAGATTGGAGAAGAGTTCGAGGAGCAGACTGTGGATGGGAGGCCCTGTAAGGTGAGTGCCAGGAAGGAGTCCCTCAGGATCCTGGCTTCTATTGCCCTGCCTCTCAGCATGCCATTTTCTAGTCTTTTCCTGGGTCCCATTCTCTTTTTCTAATGGAGGAAGTCCCTCGGTCGTGGTGGTGGGTAGAAAGGGGGTACAGCCCCTATCTCTCTTGCTACATTGTCCCTGATGGGGGCGCAGCTCACTTGGCCACCTCTCCCTTGCAGAGCCTGGTGAAATGGGAAAGTGAGAACAAAATGGTCTGCGAGCAGAGGCTTTTGAAGGGAGAGGGTCCCAAGACCTCCTGGACCAGAGAACTGACCAATGATGAGGAGCTGATCCTGGTGAGTCCTGCCTCCTCCCAGCTAAGGGCAAGCCCACTGCTACCTTGGGGGATGTCCTGGGGTGCTCCAGGGTGCAGAGGGTTCGAGGACAGTCATGGTTGGTTTCCCACGTCCTGCTGGGGTGTGAGTAAGCTGTCCCTGTCCACCCAGTGCCCTCACGCAAATGAGAAATGGCGCCCCCTCGGAGGGGAACAGTGGATATTCACTGAGAGTCCCAGCAGTTCTCCAGGGGACCTCCCCCGCTTAGGGATGAGGATATAGGGTAGACCCCTGGGGCTCTGGTGCCATCTTCCCTCCCATGATGCCCAGGCCTTTGGGGACCAGCTTCTGACTGTTGGCCCTGAACCAAGAAGCAGGTTTGAGCCTAGAGACAGAGCGGAGTTCCTTTGTTCAACCCTCCTCCTCTTCCCAAGCCACAGGGCCGGGGCCTCCCGGGCTAACAGTGACTTCTGTCCTCCTTCCAGACCATGACGGCGGATGACGTTGTGTGCACCAGGGTCTACGTCCGCGAGTGAGTGGCTGTGGGTCTGACAGAGGCCCAAGCCCATCCCCAGCCCACGCTCCTGCTTCTCTGCCCTGTGGGCCGTCCCTCCCCCCTGCCTTCTAGGCTAGCTCTCCCCCTCACCCATGCCACTTCCCCAGGTGCTGGGATGCCTCCTGCAGGGGCTCTGCGTTTTTTGCCCCTCCTCCGCTCCCCTGTTCCAACAAAGAGGGATGGGTTGCAGGAGCCCAGATCACCCATTTTGGAATCACTCCCCTCACCCCCCAAATAGCCAGTCCCAGCCCCAAACCAGCCCAGAACCGTCTCTTTCTGTGAGGGGACCTGAGGGCCTGAGAGGGAAAGACAACCCTCAGGCTTCTACTTTGTCCCTGTAGCCTATACAGTATAGAATATTTATTGGTTAATTTTATTAAAATGTTTTAAAAAAAAATATAACCTGTCTCTGGCTCATTGGAAAGATGTGTGGGAGCTGAGGTTTCAGTAGCAGGCATATGAGTTAGGATCCTTCCCTTCATTGTTCTCACCACCACCTCTTCATCTGCTGCTGAATCTGAGCATCACCCCCACTTCCTCTCTTCCAACCTCCTTGGTCCCCCCTCTGACTTCCAAGGTCACCAGGGCCTCGTCCCCTGACCCCTCGGAGGGGCGCTTGACTTGAGGAGCTGATTCCTATCTCCTCCCACCTTCTCCACAAAGGCGACACAGCTTCCTCCTCCTCCTCCTCCAATTGTTCCTTCTCTCTCCTCCAACCTCAGTCTGTGGGCACCCCAGGCCTGGCCTTGGCCTCCCACACATTCCAGGTGAGCTCATCGATGCCCCAGGCTGGCCTTGCTCCTGCCCAGGTCTCCCTGTCTGAGACAAGCATGTCTCTGCCTTGAGCCCTCTCACATACCCCTTCTGCCCTGGCTCCTACATCTCCCAGGCCCCTTGGACCCTTCTCCCTGAACCTCCACACTCAAGTCTATACCGCATCTTCCCAGATTCCATCCTGATCTCAAATGCTTGCCCTCCTTCCCCGGGCCACTGCCCTAGGTCAGACCTTGTCATCACCCACCAGGTTCCATACAGCAGTAGCTTCTAACTGGCTTTCCTGGCATGATAAAGGGAAATGAGCACAATGTTGGAATAAGGGAGTTTTGAGTCCTGGTTCTGCTACTTGCTGTTTGTGTGACCTCAGACAGGTGGGTTTCCCTGAGCCTGAGCTCTTCGCACAGTCTGAAGTGGCCTCTCCCTGCATCTGTGCTTCCGCCAGTGGGCACGCTTCACAGCCTGTGTCAGCAGTGCGCTCCCTCTCCCTGTGTCAGCAGTGCCAGGGCCTAAGGCTTCTGCCCCCTGAGAGGCCACATACGCAGCTGAGGGCAGAGGGTCAGGGCCAGGGAGTTGGGGAAACAGAGTCTCCTCAGAATGTGGGGTGGGGGAGGTGAGGGGTCCGTTCATGTATTCAACCAACTATCATTTCCTGAGTAGCTAGTACCCTGCTAGGTGCTGGGAACACAGATAAGAAAAAAAATGGACAAGATCTCTGCCCTCATGCGGCCTGTAAGAGGGAAATGGACCTTTAATGGGGAAAGATAGACAATTGAAAAATAAATGCACCAATAAATAATTGTATATCGTGCAGGTTCTATGAAGGAGAAAGGGAGAGAGCATGATGGACTGGGATGGGCGCAGATGGAGGAGGGCAGGTGTTTTGGAGGACAAAGCATGGGGGGGGGGCGGGGGGGGGTGATCCTGAAGCACCTAGTGGGATGGAGCAGAGGAAAAGGTGCTCTAGGCACAGGGCTCAGCAGGGTAAGGGCCCTGCAGACAGGTTGGGGCTGTCCAGGTCCTGCGAGGAGTACAGGGCAGGGTGGCTGGGGCTGTCAGGGGCTGGATTGGCCTGAGGGCCACCGTATTTCTTATTTTATTCTAAATGCAATGAAACCACTGAAAGGCTTTTAAAAGGGGGAGGTGGTGGCTTCCCATTTGTGGGTTTTTTGTTTGTTTGTTTTAGTTTTGCCTTCCGAAGCAAGGCCTCCAAAAATTAGATTGCCTCCTCCCCCGCCCCCCCAAAAAATGGGTGAGAGAGAGTATACATTTGTGTTTGTAAGAGGTCCCTCTGGCTGCCAGTGGAATCGGAGAAAAGGAGGAGTGAAGGGAAAGCCAGCAGGAGGCTAGTGAGGTGCTCAGTGGGGGAGGGGGGGAATGGGGCGCAGAGGTGGAGGGTGCAGCCTCAGTGATACATTAGACGGGAGGGGAGGGGAGGGAGAGAGAGGGAGGTGTCACAGTGGCCCTGGGCTTCTGGCTTGGGCCACTAAGGGAGTGGTAATGTTTTCAGAAATGGAAAAAATAAGTCAGGCTGGGCTTTCTGGATGCCAGTTTCTGTTGTAATCCCGAAGAGCCCTAACTCCGGGCCTGAGCCCCTGCTTCGTCTCTCTGCGGCATCACCTCCCCTCTTCTCACCCATCCTGGACTCCAGTTCTGTCTGACCTCTATCCTTCCCACCTGAGCTCGACCCCCTCCCCATCCTGGAGAGACCCTCTGGCCCCTTCCCAGATCCTGGCTGGAACTGTCTCCCGTTTGCTCCGAGCACCTGCTCGTTTCTCTGCCTAGTTTGTCTCTTTCTGGAACAAAGATGTTGAGAAAGGCAGAGAGAAGAGGCCAATTTCTCTTTCTCAGGAGATCCCAGAGGGCAGAGGCTGGGTCTTCCCCATCAGACTGGGGGCTCCCTGAAGGCAGTGGCTCCCTGGTGGCAGGGCCTTTCCCCTTGGCTCTGCTTCTCCTGTACTTCCTTGCCCAGCAGCCTGAGATGACAAGGAAATCACTGTCCTGAACCTACAGGTTGGATCAGGGAGGGGCGCCTCACCCATCTGATCCAGCCTGGCCCAACCCTTGAAAAAGTCCCTCCAGCCCCGGCCCAGGTGGCTCAGTTGATTTGAATGTCATCCTGTACAACAAAAGGGTTGAGGGTTCGATCCCCAGTCAACAGGGAGATAACTGATTGATGTTTCTCACATGATGTTTCTCTCCCTTCCTCTCTCTCTAAAATAATAATGATAATAACAATAACAATAACAATAACAATAACAATAATATCCTCAGGTGAGGATTCAAAAAAGAACGAAAGAAAAAGTCCCTCCAGCTTCCCTTCCCACCCCCAAGTCCCTCTTGAGCTCTTCTGCTACCTGGGTCTTCATTACTCAGCAGCACGTTTGGAAGAAAATGCACGGGAAGCCCCACCCTCTGCCTACATCCTGTGCGAGTTCCATGGACAACCTTCTCTAAGTCCAAGCTTCTCAGAACCCAGCCACTGGAGGGTGAAAGGGCTCAGGCAGCAGAGATGCCCCGGCCACCGAGGCCCAAGACAGGAAGGCAAAGACAAGGGAGGGGCCATGTGTGATTCTGCCCTGGGGTTGGGGCTGACAAACATGGCAGGGGAACCAGCAGGCACTGGGAGAGTCTGCGCCAAAATCTTAGGGAAACAGGTGCCACCGAAGCACACACACCCTGGAAGCAGGAGCATGGAGCTCAGACAGAGAAAGGCCTGGTAATAGCAAAACCAAGAGGCCAGGTGATCACTCGCAAGAAGTTATGCGAGGAGGAAGGAGGGGCCACGTGAAGATTGAAGGGATGTGGCCAGGAGCCCCCAGAAGCTGAAGAGGCAGGAAGGACCCTTCCCTGGAGTCCTTCCAGGGAGCACAGCCCCAGACACCCTGATTTCAGATTCTGGCACCCAGATGGGGAGAGCGCATGTTCCTGCTTTAAGCCAGTCTTGTAGTCATCTGAGCAGCAGCCTCAGGAAATAGGCTCCTCCTTGCCCCTTCTTTTGGGGCTTTGACCGGGTTCTGGAAACAGCTGAGTGCTGGGGTCCAACCCCAGCAGGTCCAGGGGTCCCCAAAGGTGTGGACGGAGTTAGTGAAGAAGGAATGACATGGAGAGGGCGTTCAGATGATCATCATAGCAAGGTTCTCTAGCCACGTTCTGGTCAGGATCTCCAGTGAGGTTCTGGTTAGGATCTCCAGCCAGGTTCTGTGTCCATGTTCTCTTGCTAGGTTCCCCAGCCAGGTTCTGTCCAGGTTCTCCAGCCAGGTTCAGTAGCCAATTTCTGTAGTCAGGTTCAGTCCAAGATCTTTTGCCATGTTCTCTCCAGCGAAGTTCTTCTGTCTGTAGGTTCTGTGTAGGTTCTGTCTTCTTAGTTCTGTGTTCTAAGTTCTGAGTCTTGCTGTCTTGTTGCATCTGTATTTATACCAGTTGATTCAATCCTATCAATCTATATTACAAAGGTTAGGGCGTTTCTTATCTTCATTCCAGGGAGTAAAGATTATGTAGCTTAAGCACGGTTGTTCGTAGTTAAAGTGATTAATTACCCGCCTGGCACTTAATTAAGAGGTTTTATTCCCTCCCTAACTTCAGGGGAAAATCCCTACCTGGGGAAACAACCTTTCTCAGAGAGGAGACCTTGGTTAAAACACATAGTGCCAAGAAGGTGAGCAAACATATTAAGAACAATATGCCATATATGCCAGGTCCCTTGAAACAGCAAGGATGGACCGGCTCCCGGCAGCTGAGCCCTGTGCCCTGGCAGGGTAGAGCCCCTAGACCGCTCACTGCAGGGCTCAGAGGGAGATCCATCCCTGTGTCTGTGCCTCAGCCCTGTCTCCTGCTCCCCCGGGCTCCTGGGCAGCGACAGTGCAGTGGGCACACCAGGCAGGCTGCTTGGCTCAGGGACTTCTCTCCTCCGGAGTCCCCCGCTGCAGGATGATGCAGGGCACTCCCCTGCCCCGCCCTTACCTCCCAGGCCTTCCCCCTAAGGAGTCCTGCCTGGGCCTGGGCCTGGGCTTCCTGGAGCACCTGGGTTGACAGGAGCCCACAACTGGGTTGCTGTGCCCATATTCTAGATGTCAAGACTGAGGCTCAGAGAGGGGGAGCAGAGGTCCCTACCCCCAGCCCACCTCCCCCTCAACTCAGCCCAGCTCACAGGTGGCTTCCCCAGCTGCCTCCGGGTTGCCATGGTGTCAGAGGAGGGGGAGGAGGAGGAGGAGGAGGAGGAGGAAGAGGAGATGGAGGGGCAGGTTTCTGAAAAGCAATCCCCGAACACACACCAGCTGGCCCCTCCTTGCTCACTCCCTCTCTCCAATGTCAAAGCATCCATTTGTACAGCTGGGCCCAGGCCTCTTCTAAGCAGGGAGCAAAGGAGGTCAAGAAGGCAGAGGGCCCAGGGAGTGGGTTCTGGGACCCCAACCTCAAACAGCAGATTTCCTGGACCCGGACTCCATTGCCCTCCCACAGTTCCCAGACCAGGCGAGCTCCTTCCTGCCTCCCTGCCTTCCCGCATGCAGTTCCCTCCATCTGGAATGCCCTTCCTCAGCCTTCAGGTCCCAGCCGGCTTTAACTCCACTGGAGAACCTCCCCTGAGTCCCCAGGGGCTCCCCCTGCATCCAGGACCCACCGTG